AGTGCATTGGTCACAAACAAAAGTTCTTTTGGAATTTTGAATGATTGCTTTGATTTTCTGCACATGGAGTTTTTGTTTTTATTCTGGATTCTGCTTATAGTGTAGGCTATTTCATTATAAAATTATTTTAGTTTGTGAAGAAGAAAGTTAAAATAAAAACTTGTGGATGTTATGTTCTAATGCAGATGTGGCCTGATCTTATAAAGAAGGCCAAAGAAGGTGGTTTAGATGTTATACAAACTTATGTTTTCTGGAATGGACATGAACCTTCTCCTGGAAATGTAATTTTAGAGAATTCAACAATTTTTTTAACATAAACTCATAAGACATAAAATCTTAATGCTTTATATCTTTGTTTGCTCCAGTATTATTTTGAAGATAGGTATGATCTGGTTAAATTCATCAAGGTGGTGCACCAAGCTGGTCTATATGTTAGTTTAAGAATTGGTCCATATATATGTGCCGAGTGGAATTTTGGGTAAATGTTTAAAATTGTGTTTGATCTAAAAATAAATAAATATTTTTTTCTTATGAATATAAAAATATATCTAATTATTTATATATTTTTTTTTCTGAATTGTTAGGGGATTTCCTGTTTGGCTCAAATATGTTCCTGGCATAGTTTTCAGGACAGATAATAGGCCTTTCAAGGTACAAAATTCTAGAACTAATCAATTTCAACTTTGATTGGATTTGCTGTTTCTTTCTGATTTCTAAATNTTCAATTTTGATGCGATGATTAAAAAGATTGCAATGCAAAAATTCACAAAGAAGATTGTGGATATGATGAAAGAAGAAAAGTTGTTTGAGACTCAAGGAGGACCCATCATTCTCTCACAGGTTTGTGTCTTCTTCTTGATAATGCACATGTAGATACATAAAATGCAATAATCTTAATGNTAGAAAAAATGGGCAGATAGAGAATGAATTTGGACCAATGGAATGGGAGATAGGATCAGCAGGAAAAGCATACTCACAATGGACAGCTCAAATGGCATTGGGGCTGTCCACAGGTGTTCCATGGATTATGTGCAAGCACGAAGATGCTCCTTACCCTATTGTATGC